GACTACGATGGCTCTCAAATACCCGCCGAGTGGTACGGTTGGATGCACTACAAGGTGGGCTCGCTGTTTGTGGAATTGTTAATTATAAGATATAAGTTTTGTATTATTTGTCTGTAGACCGATTTACCACCCATTCGCGATGGCTGCCGACCCAAACACAAGTGGATTGCGGATCACAGCGAGAATCTGTCTGGCACCAAGGGTAATTCTGAAAATTGAATGAATCTTCGTTCCAAACACTAACATTTAACGTATTATTACAGAGGCATATATGCCATACAGCACAACGCCTCCCAAGGTAGAGGCTTGGAATCCTAACAAGAAGTAAACTACGATTCACTAGGTTATTGTTATACGAGAATAGGAGGAAGGCTGTGGCAGGCATGGCTCCAATAAAATTTGCTTTTAGTTGAGCATCTTTATTCGCATTAGAAAGTCTTTATGATTATTAAGATTCTTAAAGCTATGGCTGGATCATATCCATATCATATATATATATCGATATTATCTTTCATTTACTCGTCTATGACGTTGTCCTTGAGCGCCTTCTTGGCGCGTCGCTTGTATTTCTTAGCCGTATCGGCACACTTTGTGGTAATGGTGGCTCTGATGTGCCGCTCCTTGCAGCCGGTGCGATTGCGCACACTGACAACGATATCGTCGACTCGATTCTGATCCAGCATCTTCTTTGCTGGACGCTCACGTCCATAGAACGCGGGCGACGGCTTGCCGGTCAGCGTGTGCGTGGCCAGTTCATCGTTGCTGAAGACGACGCCCAGCAGGCAGCGTGTCGCGACGGGCGCACTTGTCCAGAAGACCTGGCCATAGGCCTTGGCATCGATGCGCGTGCCATTGGGGCCCAGCACATACTCCGTGCTGCCGTTGGGCAGTAACACGCGTTGCGGATAATGCGAGAGAGCCGTCACGTTCTCTGACTCCTGATGAGATTCGCTTGAGCTGCTCGACATGTGGCGCGCTCGTTTCATGGGTGGCGGTGGAGCTTCATCGTGCTCGACCTCCGGCCTCGGCTCCGGCTCGTTGCCATCGTAGCGTCGATTCAACGTCTGGAGCACGCTAGTCAGACGATCAAAGAGCTGCGTATAATGATGTTGACTTTTGCTGATCTTCGCCACACCCTCCTTGAACGACGGCTCGACGGGCGGCAGAGGTTCAACGTCGTTTTTGGGTTTTCGTGAACAGGGAGCTGACATGGACACCACCTGAACGTTGATGACACGTCGCTCCTGTGGCTCCTTCTTGGGCACCAACAATGGTCGAATAGCGGGCAACCGAAGCTGGCCGAGTGGACGCGGTCTCACACTCTGTTTGCGCATCAAACTTTGCTGCTTGATGAGCTCATAGTTGATATACTTCTCAATGTCCATTCCGGGAGCCCCACTCTGCTGGTAATTAAAATTAACGGGCGCTGGAGTCAGCAATGTGTAATAGTAGGGCACCAGATTCGGTGCGAATTGACTCAAAAGCTGTTGATATGCGAACGAATAGGGCGCAGGTGCAAATGGCGCAATTGGCAAATTATTTGGCTGAATATTCAGCTGATTTATAGGCGTATTCAAATTTGTGTAAGCTGCTGCTCGAGCTTGGTCTATCCACGACTCCGGACTGTCTTGAACTGGCATACGATACGGTTCGACGTTGCCATTTTTATATTCAAAATTTATATTGTGAAAATTCTGCATGTTTGATCCCTTGTGCGGCAGGTAGCAACAGGTAAGACGGAAGGTGTGCGCAGCTGCAAAGGTTTTTCCTTGCAAAAAAATTTTTGTATTACACTAAAGTACGAATTCTGGCCTTGAAAACTCCTTTACAATCGGCAAGATTTTATGATCCAGGATTAACAGTTATTTTCAGTTTGACAGATGGCCAATAGAGTTACCAGAGCACGAAAGCGAATTTTATTGGGAGTGGGAAATTCACTTTGGCAATTGCATCCTTTACGAAAAGTGTTTTTCAAACAAAAAATTTTCTTAGAAATTAATGAGATTCAAATTCCGGCTTTAGATTGTGTTATATTTGCTATCTATCTAAAAATTAGGTATATTGTAATATTGTCCTTTCTCTATATAATATATTCAAAAATCCATATAAAACTTTATTAGCAAAACCCAATTGCATTTACACCAACCAAAAAATTGAGTTTTTGTCAGGCATTCTTCGCATTTCAACCCAACCGTGAAATTCGACCTCAAAAATCAGCTATACAAAAAATGCAGCGTCTTCAAGGATTTCCTTGGAAAAACATACAGACTTTTGCGAATTCAGTTTACAGGCGTTACACAAAAAGAGCGCAACAATGGACTCATTCTACCTGGCAAGAAGATTCTACTTAAGAAATTCCATTATACTTCATGCTCTAATGGCTGTAACATCTGCAGCCATTAGGGATGTTTTTCCTTTTTATTCCGATCAGAGAGCCGTTGATGTATAGGAAACTTATTTTTATAGCTGACAACTGGTCCCATTGCGCTCTATAGAAAAAAAACCGGTTTGGCCAAGCGACTACTTGCAGCTTATATATATAATATAGTTATAATCAATTTTGTATTGTTATATGCAAATCTAATCATCATTGCTCTACATTAATTTGCTGTTAATTTTCAGTGGAAACGCTGACATTTGCGCAAACGCAGAAGCTGGCAACTCTGTTTGCCTTCAAAATACGATTCTTGTTCCCGCGCGAACGGTATGCATGCAGCGTGGTGCAGGCAGGCATAAAAAGTAGAAGAGAGAAAGGATCAAAAATAAAACTTGCTCGCACGCCAGTTGGGATATAGAACAGTAGAAAGTCCCATTCCAGAGAGCACGCACGCGGAGAACAAATTCGAATACCTGAACTACTAGAAACCAAGCACACACACATACTAACACATTTATACGTACTCTACAGCTGTATTGGTGACCCAGGTAGCATGTGTAAGTAGTTGGAATGCATTGTGCCAAATAGTTTAAACTACCCCTCTGTGTCTCGCTCTCTCTCTCATTCTCTCGCTCTCTGGCCATGGATGTGCATGCATTTTGGTGTTTTATTTTGCGCGCGTTGCTTGCTATTCTGCCGCCAATTTCGTTGGATTTTGTATAGCGCTTCGCACAGTAGACGCTCAGCCTGCAAGACGCACACAACGCAGGACAGCAAACAGGATCGCCAGAATGGATCCACAAGTAAGTTGGCCTAAAGACAATGCAACTGCATCATAGTCGACATAATATATTATTTTGTTTAGATATTGTCTGCTAATGGCTCGAATTTCATAAATGTGCGCGACGATTCGCATTGGCACGGCCGAGCAGATCAGCCGATGCTGCTCACTGCCTGGACACAGACAACCAGCGAGGACTTTGGCCTGCTGCGCACCCTCGACGTCGATCCCCATGTGGAGGCCGAGAATCGCGCCCTGCGCGAAAAGGTACGCTATTTGGAGAGCAAGCTGCAAGAGCACACGGATCTGTTGTCCCAAATCCATGCGACATCGGCGCGCATGCAACAGGCCACGGCCACAGCTACGTCGCCGCCCGCACATCAGCCCCAGATCTTAACGCCGCCCAGTTCGGTGATCTGTGCGCCCAGCTCGGCTCAGCCGCAGCGCAGCGAGGTGATTGACTATAAGATCATAGCGGCCGCTGGCGCCGATTGCAACGATGCGGATGCCATTGAGATACGTTTGGCCGCTGAGAGCCTGAACAGCCTGAGCACCTCTGCCGACTCGGATCGTCTGGAGATTTGCCTGGGCAGCGAGGATCAGCAGCAGCAGCAGCATCAGCAGCCACTGCAACAGCATCAGATCAAGCGCGAGTCCTCGACACCGCTGCAGCTGATCAAACGCCGCAAGCTGGAGCTGCAGGAGTGCCAAAACAACATGGCTGCACCACAGCCTCACCCTCAGCCCCTGCAGCAGCAGCAGCAACACCTGCACAATATGCAATACAAGCTGCCGGCACGCAAAAGCAACGGCAATTTGAATACATCTGCGGGCGAGTGGAAGCCGGAGTTTAAGACACTACAACAGAAGGCGGACAATGTGATGGTCTCTATTGGGCCGAACAACACCTGTGTGCCGGCCAGCGTCTTTGAGAACATCAATTGGTCCGTCTCCTCGCTGGCCACACGCAAATTGCTGGTGGCAATCTTTGATCGCGAAACCCTGGCCACCCACTCGATGACCGGGAAGCCGTCGCCGGCGTTCAAGGACCAGCAGAAGCCGTTAAAGCAAATGCTCGATCCACTCAAGATCCAGGACATCATCTTTGCGGTCACCCGCAAATCGAATGCCAGCGAGAAGGAGGTGCGCAATGCCATCACCACCAAATGCGCCGACGAGAACAAAATGATGAAGATTCAGAAGGGGAAACGCTGCAGCGTCGGCGACAAGGAGAATATGGCTTAGAGTTTTAAATTACTTTGACTTAGTGTATGTAACCTTAAGAGGGGCACCCAACTAGTACCAAAACAAAAAACAAAAACAAAGAAGAGAAAAGACAGTCTGGCTGCTGAGAGTTCAACAAACAATCAAGGGGAAGAGATGAAACGGGAAGCAACAGCAACTTTATAATTTGTACAAATCAATACAAATGAAGATCTCGCAGTTTGTAAATGCGGTTTAAGCATAACCACTAAATTAAATACCAACTAACAAATCCGTATAAGCAAACTAACACACAAACTAACAGCTTGCAGGAGGCCAAGTAGAAGGGCTTTCAAATTGGCACCATTAGAGAGCAAAAAATCTCTATATAAAAACAATTTGTCAGTGTTTCTATGCCTCTTGCATCACATTCTCGAAGTATTAAAAAAAAATAACTAGTTAGATTTAGAGAAAAAAGTTGAATAAATTATTGTAACCAAATAGAATTTAGTTGTTTACTCAACACCTAATCCAAAATTTCTAGCAGGGAGAGAATTTCAAATCAGCCCGCCATGTTCTGATTCCAGTATGTACACATTCATGCAGTGAACGTTTCGCTTCCATTTCGTGACGCAACACGCTCATACACACAAACACGACTGTTCGTATGTGTGTGTGTGTGTGTGCGTGCTGTGTTGGACAGCTGAAACGAAACGCTCACCGCTACTTGCTCCGCTCAGCTGTTCGATAATCGAGCAATTTCTGTCCGTCGTGGTGGTGTTTAAGAGATACTCGAAGAAAATTGTGTGCACACAACTGAACGATATTAGAAGGAAAAACTACAGCAACTATAAAATCATATATATATTTAACAAGTTTGCTAAGTCAATTGTTATTTGCGTCATTTTGGTTCTTTTAGTTTTTTCTTTCTCGACAACAAATTAACAACGTTTGCGTTGCTGGCTTCCCATAAAAAGGATAAGCCCTAAGCATTTTCTGGGTAGTTTATTAACAAGAAAACAAACAAGTAAAGGCAACAACGCGCCATGGACATACTGAAGAAAATGTTCCAATCGGAATTCGAGCAGCAGCCGGAGTCAGAGTAAGTTATTTTTAATTCGATTGATTTGCTTCAATTGCGGCTTTTTTCAATGAAATGGATCGATAAACCAGGCACCTGCTATGATAGATACACTTTTTACCAGGATACCACACAGGCGCAAATGTGTGCACGGCCTGTATTTATGTGCATGAGTGTGTGCGTGTGTGTGGGTTTGCATAACTGTGCGCGTGTGTGTGTGTGTGCGGAGGCTGCGTATTGAAGTGAACTTCCTGCGGGCTTTGCTGGGGTTGCATTTGATGTCACTGTGTGTGTGTGTGCGGGTGTCGTAACTCTTTACACGAGTGTGTGTGTGTGTGTGTTTGTGTATATGAGTCTCTGTGCACCTTTTGCCTTTGTGATTAAGCCGCCTACGCTTTTGCAGTGCTTCCGCATCCGCCTCCAACAAGGATGAGTTTCGCAAGCCGCAATGGTTCGAGGAGGCTGAAACGGATGACGAACTGTTCGATGACGATCGCAAGTTTGCTTTTCAGGTCTTCACGAGTCCATTGGAGATGCAGAAGCACTTCGAGCGGCAACTGCAGCGACTGCTGGAGTCAGTGCAGGACAATGAAGGTGAGTTTATAGTGAATCCCATAATTCATCAGCTTTGAAACTCTTGCCTTTCCCCAATAGAGGTTGGGCTAGAGCGTAATTTGAGGGAGGATTTCTTAAAGCCGGGTTTCGAAAGCAAAATACTTAAGGAGTTTCAGAAGAAGCATAACGCGCTAGACACCGATCTGGATGGAGAGTAGGTGGATAATATATAAGCTAATTTATATATTTATGTTTCCTTTGGTGTTTCCAGAATCTATCCCGATCAGTTGTACTCGCTGATACAGGGCCTGAATCCGGAGGAGGGCCACGACAACATTTTGCCCTCCAATCAGCGTGGCTTGCGCCGGGCCGCGCCTCGTCCCAAGCTCTCGGACGAGGAGCTCATCATGGGCCGCATCCATGGCACTCTCAATGCCGATGGCGAAACGAAGCCGGCTGTGATGCTGCCGTCACGTCCGCCGCCGAACGCCAAGCCGAACATTATGACGCCCATGACACCGTTTGGCGGCGTATTCGATGGCACCTATCAGGGCCCGAAGATGTTTAGCCAGAGCGTCATGACCAAGACGGTGCGCAAGCCCGACGGCACCTATGAGACCACCAAGGTGACCCAAGACTCGACCGGTCAGCGAACAACCACGGTCACTCGCATAGTGGATGGACGCAAGGAGACGACCGTTAAAAAGGAGGGCCCTGGCAGTGCTGGGTCGACGGCTGCTAGCGTTGGAGCTGGCGGAGATCGCAAGGCGTGCATGAGTCGCAACATATTTGTGACAAAAGAAGGCTACGCCATGCCACGGAACCTCTGGTGACCAGTGGTGAACAACTATTGCCCCAATCAAGATAAGCGAACATTGCTGCTACTACTCCAACGGCAGCAGCAGCAGCAGCAACAGTATGAAGATAAGCTAAAGCGATTCGTCGGCAACATAGTCCCACACAACATCCAAATTAGAACCTATTACATTTTAGTTTACATTCTCTTAAGTGTTTGTTGGTGTTTTAGATGAAACGCAATTGAGACAACAGATGACGACGATTCCACTGATCGTGGTCAAATACCATTGATGATTATTTGAGCAAGCGGCGAGTATCAATCGCCTTTTTGCCTCTATGTGTGCGTGTGTGTGTGTGCGTGAGCAGCGCTTCTGATGGCGCCCCACACACACACGCGCCCACACACACCAGTTCAGTTCCAGAGCACACTGCTGCCAGGAGTCCACGCACACTCTCCAGGCGCTGAGTGGGCGGCGCGTCCTCTCACGCAGGACGCGCTGCAGCAGCTGTGTGAACATGATTCTCTTCAGTTTTGGGCCAGTTCGGCTTGACTCGATCCATGGCGCACGCGGTGGGGCCGCAATGTGGCCCGCTCGACTTATTTTTGTTTATATTTGTATTCTCTTCGTGGTACTACTATCTGTGTCTCAATGGAGCGTGCAGCATCTAAAGTGCCCGTAGTAACAAAAGAAAAAAAAAAAAAAAAAAAAAAACGAAAAAATCAACAAAAATAGTCTCGCAAATGGCATGCGGAAAACAAAGCATAATTATGATCTATATAAATATATATACATTTGATTTTTGATATACTTACTATATATATGTATATTATATATATACTTATATTTGCACTCCCAATATGTTATGGTATGAACGGATCAGTTCTTATATAGTTTATACATTTATATAATTTCCTTGGCTTCTTTTTTTGATAATTATTGTTTTGCATACATATATTTATATATCAGATTTGTATATGTATACATATATAAATATATATATTTTAGTTAATAGTTTGCATACTACAAATAGACCATAATGCAAGAACGCATACATTTAACATTGTATTAGATATCATTCAAGCGAAATGTAAGTGAATAAAAGTGTTGTGCAATAAAAACAAATGCAACAAACTAGGGATCGTTTCATTCCATATGCCATATGTATGTGATGTATATGATATCTGTTTATATGATGGTGTGGGTAGTTATATAAATATCATTTGGTTTAGCATATATGTATTTATATCATATAACAGCTGGTTTGCTTATTTATTGCTATAATTACACTTGTTTTGATAGGATTTGCATCAAGGCAATAATAATGCTGCTATTCCAAATATATTTTATTATTGTTTTTAGATAACTTTAATTTACAGAGTAGTCTGAAAAGTTCTTGATGTGGAGATGAAAGAAAAGTTAAAGAATCATATTTATCTGAAATATACTATATGAAAAGTTCCTTAAGGGCTCTGTTGATGCTAGTTCCTATTATACAAGACCTTAAATAGACGTACATAGGTTGAAGTTCTGGAAAATATTTGTAATATTCAGATTCCTAAAACATAAGGATTTCGTATTATTAAAAACTCCTTTTTACTAACCTATGACAAATATGCAATATAGTGGGTCTGATCAGAGTCTTTTCCAATTGGTCTACTTTAGAAAACTGTTATACTTATCCTCCAGAAACTTGTTTCATACAATTTCCCATATTTCCGGCAACGTTCCAGTAAATACAGTTCCGTTAGCTTGGCATTTATAAGTTGTTTCGTATTTTGTATATTTATATATATTCAACTAGTAACAAGAGCTTTCTTTAAGAACCAAAGACTGATTTTAATGATGCTCCTTCTTCACGAAACGCAGGCCGCAATAGCCGCAGCTGTGATTGCCGGGTTTATCCTATAACAAGCAGATGCATATAATTATGGCACATTTAATTCACATCAATGTCTTCCATTTACCAGATTAATGTAGACTTTTGGATGGCCGAGCGGACCGTTGCCTCCGTCGCAGTAAACAACGCGCTCTTCACACTCTTTGGGTGGAATCTCGTCGATAAGCTTGATGCCCCAGTTCTCATTCACATAGCGCTTGGCATTTGTGAAGCGCACATTGCGATAGTCGTCCTTGTCGAATACCTAATGTTATTAAAGCAAAACCGAAATTAATAACAAATTTTGTTTGCGTAATCGCAAATGGAAACAGCTGAGCGCTGTGGCTCTTGCCTGGCCCGTGTGTGTGACTTTCTCGATGTCGCTGCGTGTGCTGGACCAGCGCATGCTGGCCAGCGGCATCAGCTTGTTCTGGTTGCAGCGTCCTAGGGAGCTAGCACGATTCATCAACTGTTTGCAGGCCATTTTTTGGTTTGTTTAAAACCTCTCCAAATTTGTTACTGAAATTTAGTTACGACTTAGAGATGACAGTTTGTGAACGTACCCGTTACTTGTGACAGCCACTTCAACAATCTATTACAGATGAAGCAAATCTATATCGATCGTTGTATGGCTAAATTTTAGAATATGTTATGTGCTATATTTAATTATTGTTATTGCTACTATTCCTTATAGTATTTATGTTTAAATTGTTTCTTCTTGTTTATAGCTGTCGATGTATCGATACAAATATAGTCGATATATCGATGTATTACAAACCAACCCAACTTCTTCTAGTGGCAGCCACTGTATACTGTGCAACTTTTTTCCGCCGTGTGGCAGCCTTTCAACTGCGCTGCTGCTGAAACTGTGAATATAATTTGAAATACCTTACAATGTAATATTAACTTGTATTAATTGTATATAATTTAGTATATAATTATTTATTTAAAAAATAATTGTGTTTATTAGTTTTTATAAAAATTAAGTTCAATTGGCATACATGACAGAAATATGCGATAGTGCTGCCAGATGTGTACGAAAAGTGGTGCTCGTTAAGATTCAAATTAAGAATCTCTAACGTACGTTTAGTTCGAAATTCATAAATAAAATAGCATGAAGAAAACATATAAGTTTTCCAAATAAGTTTTTTGTTTGAAAAATTTTGTTTGACGTCTTAAATAAAATAATTTGTTGTCGTTACATAAATATATATGTATATACAAAAAAAGGCTACATTTGAACTGGCTGGATACTAAAGCATATATGCATGCAGCTGACTATAACTATATGTCAAAAGCAGCTAAAATCGAACCAGAATTATTTGAATAGCAAGCAATAAATTTCTCTCCCTTTGAGCTGAGTTCCCAATTGCAGAGCTCTATCAACTGCCTGTTATGCCAGAGTTAAGGGTTGGGGGTTGTTTCATAATTTAGTTGACAATATTTATTATTATGGGCTGTCATGTAACTGGCCATGTACATGTAACTATTGCCCTTAACTATAACAACGCTAGCAGCATCCTAAGCAAACAAACGATGAGCACAGGACTAATAAAATTACATGACCAGCCAAACCCAGGCAGAGGTAGAGCCTGCCGAAGAGGGGGAGGCTGATGGCTGAAGGGTCAGCGTGCAGAGATATCCTGTTGTGTTTGATTGTGCGCCATTGTTTCAGTGCGCTGCAATTACGCAACTCGCCCCTGAAAACCTTGCAACTGACCGCTGGCCAGGCTACAGCTAACAATATATATAATTTACAGCGCTTTTGTGTAGCGAGGCGTGAATTTTTTCGACAAACTGAACTTGGTTGATTTTTGAAAAATTTTTAAACGCATTTGTTTGGCCGCGTAATTAAATGCAATTTTCCGTGTCGCTCGAAATGATTTTGCTATTTCAATTTGTCCGGCGACCGCAGCGGCTGGAGGCAGGCGCCTGGTCAGTGGCTACGGCGACTGCGCAGCTGCCAAGAAGTCAACGCGTGCGCGCAGCAGGACTCCAGCAGCAGCAGCAGCAGCGGTTGGTCCTGGGCAGTTAAAGGATATTTTTGGTTTTTGATTCATGTTTTTCGACAATTTTCACCTTTTGAGTGGCTGTTGTTGGGTTGTTTTTACAAAAAGGATTAAGCGAAAAGCATAGCGGTTGCCCTTACTCCTTTATATCCTGCATCCTTTGTCCTTAAGCAATTTAGCGTAAAACTCAGCGCCCATATATATTGTTTTTTTTTTTTTTTTTTTTTTGTATAGAATTTAGGCATTTTTATCAATTGTTTTTTTTCTATCTGGTGGTGAAAGTGACAAATTTTTTCGTTGTCTTTTTTAAGATTTATTGTCACATTGCATTCACTTTTCAAGTGGTTGAGTGGCTGTACGTTGTGTGTGGTGCATGCCACAAGGGTTGACAGTCGAGGGGCGTTTCCCAATAGATCAAAGCATCTGAGATTTATGGCACTGAAATCGAAAGAGTGTTAGGACTCATATAGCTGATATATGCCGATGTCTAAGGTAGCTAAACAGCTGTGACTTGGCTTAGGTTTAGTTGTTTGATCGAAATTTGTATTTGATTACAATATTTTATTAGTATCATAATATTTATAATATTTCATAAATTTAAAATAAATTCAATAATAAAATATAAATATTTGGAATAATATTGTTTTGCACAGTATTCAATAGAGATTCAGGAAATAATATTTGAAAATTTGTATAATTGGATGATGCTTGATATGAGGAGAATCATCGAAAGATTTTAGTTATATAAATGTAGATATTACATTAAAGTTATTTACCACCTTTTTTTTTCCCTATATCAGTAATCCGTATATATTATAAAATTTGTTGAAATTATGATAGCTTTATATACTCTCTCGCATTCTGTTTCTAAAAAAAAGCCTTTTCTGATACCATCATTGAACAATCTTATTATATTATAACTCCTACATCCACATCTTCTAGCATTACACACACACACATACAAAACTTATTTCATAAACATTTCTCTTGCTAGGCCTAGTTTCCCTTCAATCTATTCACAATTGTTCGTGTCGTGACGCTTTAATGCTAATTCACAGTGAACTCTTGTAACTCCGCATAGCAGCAATTAATTTCGTTTTCCTGCTGTTTTGGCAATCATTTAGCCAATTTCAAATAACCTTTCAAAAATAAACAACAACAGTTCCAAAATGCAATGCAACGACAGCAGCAGCAGCAGCTGCTGCTGCTCACCTGCTCACCAAGCTCACCTGTGCTTCAAGTGCCATTGGGGACGGGGGGTCCGCATGGTCAATGCCACAGCTTGTTAGCTGTCCGGGGTTCGAGCTCCACTGGCCATTGGCT